TTGTGCATTTCAAGCCAAGAATAACATTATGCACATTCAAATTTTCATACATTCTTTGAAACTAATACATGGTTTTACATTGAAAATTAACCCCATGCATATAACATTTACAATTTACATTTAACAATTAATTAACATATAACTACCCAAAATAGAGTTCCTTTGGTTACCTTAAACTTTTGAGAGGTCAAAGGTTTGCCCCTCAATATAAGAGCTTTCAAGCTTAAATTCTCAAGCCAAAATAGGTGATCAAGAGCCAACAACTATAATCAACCAAGTTGAATTTCATCAACATTACCAACTCAAGTATTAAACTCTCAATCCTTTATTTCTAAATTGCCTAATGTTTACTCTACATGAGTTGGAGCCTATCTATTGGGTTCATTATCTATCTATAATATCATATAACTTCATTGAATAGCCACATTACCATTAATACTTCAACAACCACAATAATAACAAATTTAATGTTTATTTTTAGACATTAATAGAGCTCATCATTCAACAATCACCAAAATAATTTATACTAAGTTTAAATACTCTAAACAAATCCCATTAATTTTATTTAAGTCAATGAGTTTAGACCCATACCCCATATGGACTAAAATCATCATCCCTATTCAAACCCTAACTCAAATCCCTGAGAAAATGGAAGAGGGAAGGAGAAAAAGGGTTTAAAAATATTACCTTGGATGATTTAGAGCTTTAAACCTTCTCAAATCTTTTCTTAGATCGGGCCCTAGCAGAGCTTGGTGTGTCTCTTCCGTTTTCCTTTCCTTTCTTCTCTATTTTTCACATCAGTTTGTGTATTATTTTTGCAAAATTTGTATCATGCATTGCGTCGTATGTCCCTACACACCATGGCATGTGGTGTAGAGAAGGTGGTTCTCGGCTAATGGCCCTGTGTACTGTAGCATGTGGCACAAAGGCTGTTTAACATGTTTTTCTCCACTTTTTTGGTCCCTAAGTAATCCAATTTCACTTTAGACCTAATTTATACTTGAAATTTCAACTAAAAGCACTTATTATTCTTCTCTAACCACACACCACATCAACTTACTTAATTATCCTTATTAATCTTAGTAAATCAAGGAATTAAAAATAAGGATGTTACACTCTTTATGGTTAGTAAAATCACTCTTGCAAAGTCTATTCTTACTGTCATCCTGCTTTATCTTATGCAAGTTTCTAAAGTTCCTGTGGCTATCTATAATGAAATAGAAAAACTCTAAAGAGGCTTTCTTTAGGAAAAATCTCATAGCCACAGTTACCACCCAATTAATTGGGAAATAATCTCTTTCCCCAAGGTTTATGGCAGCGTTAGTTTTAAGTGCTTAACTTTTATCAATACAGCTTTCTGGGTTAAACTTGCATGGAATCTAATCTCAGGTACTACTGGTCTCTAAGTAGATGTTCTTAGCATAAATATATGTTTAGGAATGAAGAAGATCTTTTGCAGGCTAAATCTGGAGATTCTAAGCTATAGCCTTTCATTTGCCAACAAAGAGATTTAAATAAAGAAGGCACTAAATGGCGAATTCATAATAAATTAATTAAATGTCTCCTTCTTTGATGACTATTAGTTGATTCTTGGTAAAAAGTTGAAGGATCTCTATTTAAGGCCTTTATCTCCCACTGAAGAATAAAGCAAAGTTGTTGATTTGGTTGTAAATGGTTCATGGAATTTTATTAACTTAGCCTCTATGCTACCTAATGATGTCATTCTCAAACTCATCTCTGGGCTTCCTCCATTTCTATGAGTTAGGAATGATGTTATGACTTGAAATGCTACTCCTAACAACACCTTTACATTTAAGAGGCCTATTTTCTCATTGAGAAAAACCCTCTAAATTTATTATCTCCCACCTTTAAACTTATTTGAAAGTGGAAAGGAGTAGAATGAATCTTCCTCTTCATCTAGATGGTTTTCCAAAACAGGCTTCCTAAAAATTTATGGCTTATTTCATGGTCTCACATTTCCCCACTCTGTAATTGGTACAATTATGCATAAGAGGATGTTCTTCATATCCTCAAAGACTATCAATATACTTAGCACTTTTGGTTGCAACTCGTGGATAACAGGTACCACTATACTTTCTTCTCCTCTTCTCTCGAGGATTAGGTCAATATCGATCTGAAGAGAAATATTATATGTCTTCTTAATTCTTATTGGAGTATTTTTTGTGGTGTTTCAATATGGCACTTTTGGAAGTAGAGGAATAGTTTTAGATTTAATTCCAACTTCCTTAAATCAAACAACTCAGTGTCATACTTATTGGCCATTTGACGATCTTTTTCTTCTCAATATGACTCAAATAACAGTGATGATGACCCTTCCCCTTCATCTTAGCTCCTAACCCCTTTGGGCTGTGTCAAACTCAACATTGAAGGTAGAGTTGGTAATATGCCAACCCGCAAAAAAGTTATAGGTTGAGTTAAAGAAAGTGGGTTTAATTTTAGGTAGGGTAGTTTTAGTCTGCCTTATATAACTTAAACCCGTAGCGGCTAACTGGCTTAACTTCTATTTTTTAAAAAAATTGATAAAAAATAAATAAATTAGATAGAGTTTAAAATAAAGCATTTAAAGTAAGCATGCATGGAATTGTGATCTAAGTACTTGACACTTTTATATTTATTTAATTCAAGTTTAAATTATAGCAGAAAATAATAAAGACATACTGCTCATGTATTTAAGTAATAATATAATATAACCTAAATGTGATCAAGATAAGATTGAATAAAATATTTTATTATACCCCACTTTATCCATATAATAGCTTATTTAAATTATCTTGTTTGCAAAGTAGTACTACCCAAGCTAGCAAATAAAAAAATTTTAGTTTCCCTTTTTATTTAAAAAATTAAACATATTTATAAAGTGCTAATTATATATTATATTATTATCTTAATTTGAATATAAAAGAAAAAAATAAATACAGAGATTTTAGAATATTTAGGTGGTATGAATTGAATTTATTATGAGTAGTAATCTAATAGTTAGAGTTTAAATCATCATTATTTTATTTTTAAAAAAGAATTGATATTTTAAATTGGGGCATCAATTTTATAGCAAAAACGCCAAAACATGATGAAGAGAAAGGGGGATAGACAAAGCATTTTTATTAATTCAAATATATATAATACTAATCAATTATGTAAAAGACTAGAGAAAGAATGGATCACAAAATTAAATTAGTTTATATTTACGTGGTGATATAAGTATGTCTTAATTAGAAAGACTTTTATTGTTATTTGAATAATTAATTTTTAGGGAAAATATATGATTTTTTTACTATGAAAAAAATAATAAAAAGAGAAAAATTTATATTTTTTAAAATTTTAAAAAATTATAAAAAATACTTTTTTTTTACTTACGAGTTGGCCCGTTAACCCACCAACCCATTGCGGGATGTATGAGTTGATAGAATTTAACTTGTGTAGAATGTAGGTCATGTCAAACCTGCACTCTGTTGTGGGCCAACTTATATTATCAGCTCTATTTGAAGGTGTTGTTTTCAAGCTGATCATATGTGCTCCCCTTGATGTGCTGAAGCTTGGCGTTGCCTCGAGGCCTTCAACTTGCATAGGACATGGGCTTCAAGGAAATTATTTTAAAATCGGATTGCAAGACCCTCCTTGACATGCTGAGCTCTAAGCTTGATGCGTCCTCTAGTCATAGCCTTGTTATTTTGGAGATGTTATTAAAGTACAATTGGAATATCAAGACGAATCATATTTCAAGACTTCAAAATCAAGTGGTGGATAGATTTGGCTAAAGAGGCACTAAATGTCTCTTTCTTCTTAGACTGCGTTCCTTCCTTTTCGAGGGACCATGTGCTAAACTATTGTTTGGGATTTCAATTCCCCCTTTCTTCGTAGTTAATTGATATATCGGGCCAACCCTCCTTTCCACCGAAAAAAAAATAATAATAATAAAATAAAACAAAACTCACTCCTTGACCATTCCTAGATATATTACACGCAGTGGATCCCTTGTCGATTTGCCACCTATAAGCACCATACTATACGGCCAATACTAATACTTATTATTAGATAAATCAAAAACAAAAACAAAAACAAAAACAAAGTAGATCAAGAAGGACATAATGAATTCTCTCAATCTTTTTCTTCAAGAATGCCAATTCGTTTCTCTTCAACTTCTTGGATCTCCATATGAAAACAAGTTAAATTCTCTGTAATATGAAATTGATATAGGACACAAAGCACTGTATTCCCCACCCCACCCCCAAAAAAAAGAAAAAAAAAAAGAAAAAGGCACTATATTACCTGAGATGGAAAAAATTTAAAATATAAATCAAATCATCCAATTTTTAAGGATATACAATACAGTGGCTCGCGTTGTTAGTTAATAAAAGATAAAAGACAATTGGATTACTAAATCAGAAAAGACAAATTAGATTAAATCTTGTAAGAAAATTATAAAATAACGTTTATTTTTTAACCATGATCAAAAGTGTAAATAAAAATTTGGTAAACACACACACATAATAAAAATGATAAAATTTTAATAGACTTATGAAGAATACTCACTCCGGTTTCTAATATAGGGCGCTTTCTAAAAGAATTTTTTAGCTTTTAATGTAAGGCATTTGATGAGATACAAATTATTTTTTTTAATATTATTATTATTTAAATTTATTAACTATGAAAGATAATGTAATATAAATTTAAAATTTTTATTTAAATGAAATAAAATTAAAAGTTTATTCTATTTTTAAATAAATTTGATCACTTAACGTGTCTTAAATCTATTATTTAATTATAATTTCATGACTAGCATGCATGGTAGTTAGGAATCAAAACCAATCATCAATACACAGGAAGGAGGCGAAGTGATGACTCGTTTCTTCTATTTTTATTTGATTAGCTCAGGGACTCTGGAAGGGAACCACAACAAACTATTTATGATCCATCAATTAGTTACGGGAACGGAACATGCAGTAACAATTTCCTTCTTTGGGGTCCAAGGCTTGGTCAATATTGCCCTAAATCAGAGGAAAAATTGAGGATGACATTCAAAGGTTCGTCGTGTCCGTCTCCGTCGTGAGTCTGCATGGGTTCCACTTCCATCCTCAGAGCAAGAGGTGGCAACAAAACTTCTTCTTCTTCTTCTTCTTCTTCTTCTTCATTTCTTTGCAATAGCGGTGGAGGCGGTGGTGGCAGCTGTGGCGAGCAAAACCTAATCATGTCTATCCACCAGCCGTTTGATGGCAGAGCACTGCCTCTAAACACCACCGTGGTGCCCGTCGACAAAGGCAAGACCAGCGTGTATGCCTTCCGGTGGGCACTTAATCATCTCGATAGTCCAATCATCGTCGCTCTCCACGTTGGGCCAAAACACATTCCATCCCGTAGGTACCCTCTTATCTTTCTTCACCACAATGTGTGTGCGTGTGCCGGAATCATCGATTATTGCTCTGCTAACTAATTACGTACCATGGATTCTTGGTGACTGCTCTGTTGTGATTTCCACTTTCCATTGATGATTGCGCAGATGAGGCTCTCAAGGTATTTCCCCCTGATGAAAGCGATGTAGCCAATGTTTTCTCTGCATTACGAGAAGTACGTACACATAAAGTGGTACGTAATCAGATCCTTGGTAACTATAATTGAACGTCTTAAAAAGCGTGGTTTCCATTTCTAATATTTTGTTGATTTTCCTACTGTTCCAACTCACTACGTTCAAATTGATTTGATATATTCAGGTGACGATTAAAGAAGCCGTAGTTGACGATAGTGATGTTGTCAAAGGAATTTCAGACTTTGCAAACCATCATCACATCAACAGTATCGTTATCGGCGCAACGGCCAGCTGGAACTCTCTGGCAAGGTCTTTTTCTTCGCGCGTAAGCTTTTCTATGTTTTACATATAGAATGGCATAAATGTATGTCTAGAATGTACTAAACGGTGATTATATTGCTATTCTCAAAGGAAATTTATAGGTTTTGATCTGCCAACGGCCATAATCAAGTCAGCTCCAGATTATACTTCTGTGTATGTAATTTCAAAAGGGAAGATAGTCTCAGCTCGATCAGCACTGCGTCCTATGTCAAATATTTTTGCCCCGTCAAAACAACCGCTGGCACTTCAACCAAATGATGTAGAAAACGGAGTAAGGTGCCCAGGAATGAAATTCATTTGCAACTTTGAATCCATGACACCGCTTGTGCAGAAACTAAATCAATATAAATCCTACTTATATTAGGGGTTTGGCTGCAAACAGGGCACAGGCAGCTAAAAGAGGAGGGATGACAGAGGGATCAGAAAGAACGTCTTCTGAGACGAACAAGAATCGAGCAAGGGAAAAGAGTTCCGGCAGTTCGTCGATGGATAAAATCGACCTACCCAGTCGTGGGCTGAAGCCATCAGTTGGCCCTGATTCTTTTTCGGACGAAAGTGTTTCATCGGATCTAACTAAACAAGATTTGGTGTTTAGCTTTTCATCTGATGGCTCCAGGACATCATCATCCTCCCAACCATCGGTAGGCGCAAAATGGCCTTTGATGCCTGGACTGTTATAATAGATCATTAATTAATGTACAAGTAGTGTAACTTTCTATTAATTTTATAATTATATATATATATAGATGTATATATTCAGGAAAACATGAACATATTGTATAACCAAACGAAAAGGTGAAACTTTTTCATAATTACAGTATCAATACTTTATTACAGAAAGAACTAGAAGCTGAAATGAAGAGATTGAGGCTTGAATTGAAGCAAACCATGGACATGTACAGCTCAGCTTGCAAAGAGGCAATCTCAGCAAAAAATAAGGTGATTTTTATACCATAACTAGATGAACTTCTTCTCAAGTTCTTCAGTTACCCCTTGGCTTCAGTATTTCTGTGGTAAAACGATAGACGTTGCAATCGGTGTCAAATAAAATGATTCAAGAATGGGTAAATGTATGGCAGGCTGACGAGATTAATCAATGGAAACTAGAGGAGGCACGTAAACTTGAGGAAGCAATATTGTCAGGAGAGGCAGCTCTTGCACTGGCAGAAAAGGAGAAGGCTAGAGCCAGAGCTGCCATTGAAGAAGCTGAGGAAGCCAAGAAAATGGCTGAGAAGGAAGCAGAGAGAAGGAGACATGCAGAGATAAAGGCCAGGAAAGAAGCAGCAGAAAAGGACCGAGCATTAACTGCTTTGGCTAAAAATGATGTTCGATATAGAAAATACACAATAGAGGAGATCGAAAAAGCTACTGAAAAGTTCTCCCCTTCCTTGAAAATAGGTGAAGGTGGATATGGGCCTGTGTTTAAAGGTGAACTTGATCACACCCCAGTTGCGATCAAAATCTTAAGACCTGATGCTGCTCAGGGCAGGAAGCAGTTTCAGCAGGAGGTATGGTGTGTACAACTTTTCATAAACTGATGATTCACAATATTGATTATCTTGTAATAATAATTTTGACTACCAGCCACTTTGAATCTATTAGGTGTGGATAGACATTCCAACTGTGCCTTTAGTTGAGTTTGAGTGTGCCATGGATTTGTAATGAAACCTCTGGCTAACATTTAGTAGAAAAAGAACGGGTGTAAATCTGGACATTATATTTGATTGTCTTTCATTAACAATTTAATGATTTATTATGGTAGTGAAACTAGTGACCTCACTCTACAATGTGTAATGCATTTTTGACAGTCTACTTTCTCATTCCAACATGCACAGGTTGAGGTATTATGCTGCATTAGACATCCCAATATGGTCCTCCTCCTCGGTGCGTGTCCTGATTATGGGTGTTTGGTGTATGAATACATGGAGAATGGTAGCTTAGAAGATAGATTATTTCGGAAGAATAATAGCCCGCCTCTTTCATGGAGGTTAAGGTTTACAATAGCTGCTGAAATAGCAACTGCACTTCTTTTCCTTCACCAAAGCAAGCCAGAACCCCTTGTGCATCGGGACCTAAAACCAGCCAACATTCTCCTAGACCGAAATTATGTGAGTAAAATCAGTGATGTGGGCCTGGCACGATTGGTTCCGCCTTCTGTAGCTGATTCTGTCACACAATATTACATGACTGCAGCTGCCGGGACCTTTTGCTACATTGATCCTGAGTATCAACAAACAGGAAAGTTAACGACTAAATCGGATGTATATTCATTGGGGATAATGCTACTGCAAGTTGTCACAGCTAGGCCTCCCATGGGTCTTTCTCACCAGGTCAAAAGGGCAATTGAAAAAGGAAGATTTTCAGAGATGCTTGATCCTACGGTGACTGATTGGCCAGTTAAAGAGGCTCTAGCATTTGCCAAAGTGGCAGTGAGTTGCGCAGAGCTTAGCAAGAAGGACAGGCCTGATCTTGCAACAGTTGTAGTGCCAGAGCTTAACCGCTTAAGGAATTTTGGTTTGACGTCTCACCCTAGCTAGTCCCATTGTCATCAACAATCAGAGTCATAGTCAAGCGGGACGCTTCTCCTGCACCTACACAAAATTCATGACCAATCACATTAAATAAGAGCCGGGTTTGTGTATTAATTAACCTTACTAGTTTTGCTAGGATCAATACACTAATTTTAAGCGTCAAAACCTTATTCTGCATTCTCTTCCAAATTTGGTCTTGCTTGCATAGGTTTTGAGAATACATTTACTATTAACTCTGTAAATGAAATATATTTTTCCTAGTAATGTGTACCTATCCTGAACAAGGAATGCACGACATTTAAAGAATATTGAATATACCACTGACATATTACAGTTTAAAAGGAGAATGGGGTCCTTCAAATGTTCATTCCTGACTTGTAACCAATAATATGGAGTGGAAAGTTGAATCTTAGGCCTCTTAAGTGTTTGAGAACATTTGATTCCAGATATTTTTGTGCAATACGCAGTTTTAACTAAACCTTGTATCAAAAAAATAAAAAATAAAAAATTACTGTATGTTGATGAAAAAATTGATATATGGGGCAAAAATAAGGGAGATTGATTGTCATCTGTAAACTGCATTTAGCTGACAGCTTGCATAGGTAATAGATGTTTTTTTTTTAACCAACATTGCATAGCCAATAGATGAATCATCTGAAGACTATGTCAACGTTTGTGCATGAATAAGTATAAGTAAAGAAGCCGAGGAACATGTCATTGCATGAAAAGCTCCTTTTTCTTTCATTTGCAAGTATAGAGCAGAAATTTTCCTTGCAGGTTCCAGGGGAGCAGGTTTTGCTTACTACATGTGATAAATAAACTTCCCCGTGCATAGCAGTGTTGACTACGTGACGTCATATAAGACAGCAAAGTCTCACGTTAAGGCCAAAAATAATGCAGGGCCACAGGGAATTGGCATTTAGGACAGAGCCTTATTTATTGCCTATGGCCATGGGGACGGAAAGATGTCCATTACGTTTCCGAGAGCACTTTAGTGCTTTCTCTTGAAGATAAAAACTCAAGACATGCAGTGTCATAACTCTCAGGTGGGCCGTAAATCAAATTTTATGTTATATTTATCCATTCTAGTGAATACACAGTGATCTCCAGCTACAAGAATTTCCTAGAACTTGCAAGAGGTCTCAGAAACCCAGCTAGCAAAGTAAAGCATAATAGAACAGCATAAAGTGTGATACCTTGTGAAGCGAATTCATCCACATAAAGATGGATTATGTTGGGAGAAAGGTATGGGCAGAGATTGTTAAAGAAACTTTGCTTCGGATTCCCTCACCATGAAAATGAAAGATAAAAATCTACAATTTCCAAACTCCAAGATGATAATGTAGCAATGACTTGCGTTTTTCTTTCTTAATAATTCTCGTACACATGGGTCCTTCAATTCTCCCATCATACTCATGGTGCCTTAAAAAACATACTAAAGTGTAACAATAAGGACAAATATAGAATCAAAATCAGCCGAATTTCGCATCATTAACATGCCTACTTTGTGGGGGGAATGCCCGCAAAAAGTATTTAAGAATTATTTTTTTTTTTCATTCATACGATATCTTGACGCTATTATTAGTCCATTAGATTCAAAAAGTAATGTAAATATTTATGAAAATACTCCAGTATCATATTAAACACCAAGGTTTCACTAATAATAGTTATCAGACAGTGACCTTAATGGTAAGTAATACCCTTGAGAACCAGGGGCATAAATTACTATAAAGGACCGAAAGTGAACAGGTGAGTATACTTTTCAGCAACATTAAGAAAGCATCTAAATTCTGAAATCAAGTTTGTTAAAAAGGCAAGCTAACACTTTAGACCCAAGGGAGAAATCTCCTGGTCGTCACTTAGTTTCTGCCTAAAAGGCTTCTGCATTGCTCGTAGCTCATCCCGCTTCAGTTCAAATGGATCATCGGAAGAGCTTGAGATTCATCACAACAAGTTGGCTTTCATGGTTCTTAAGGGTTGTGTTGGTGGGACTGGCTGTGTTTTCTAGATTGACATATCAGGACAAAGTTGAAGCTCCTCCAAGTAATCTGTTCTGTATCAGCGAATGTGGCACATGCCCTGTAATCTGTTCTCCGCCTCCTCCTCCACTTCTTACATATGTAACGCCACCCTCACCGGCTGTCCCTCATTCTCCACCGCCGTCGCCGCCGGCTCACGCCCCTCCCCCTCTTTATTTCACCTACCCGCAGCCACTCCCGAAGTCACCGGCGTCGCCGCCACCCCCACCGCCACCAGCCCCCCCAAGCGCCGCTCCCCCTCCACCTGCTAAGTCCAACGAAGCACCTCCTGCGGGTTCAGGTCAACCGCTAGTAATATCAGGGCCGCATCAGTACCCTTATCCTTATTACTACTATTACGCCTCAGACGCTTCTTCTCCTTCTTCTTCGGCACCATTTATGCTCTTACTATTGTTCCTTCATAGGGTATTCTCCTGTTGGTAAGTGGTAGCTTTTTACCGTTCGCGGGCACGAGAATGCTAAAATATAATACTTGTTCCGGACAATGCTGGGTGTAATTTGTAATTATATTTGTCTATCCTTTTGTGCTGTATTGTGTTTGAAATTCAGGTTTATTATTAGCTTCTTTTTCTCCTCCATTTATGTTAAAAACTGATAAAACAAAAGGATCAGAGATGTTAATCATATGTATATATATTTTATCGCCACATGTGTGCGTATATACAGTGGAGCTTTAGTTCCGATTGTCGTCGCTTCAAGAATCAAATTTCCTGACCGTAAGGTTAGAACATTACGTAAAACGCAGAGGGAACGAATGATTGTGGAATGCAAACACAGGCTGTGGCTAGAGGCTGAAAAGCGGATCATCCCCAGAAACGCAGCGTTATGGAGAAGCCTGGCAGTGGCATCACTTTATTCAGGAACACCATCTTTCTGCTGGGAGAGAACCTTCCTCTAAAGCAAACATAAAAGGTGGCTTGTGGCACTTGAAAAGCAATAGGTTGAAAAGTAATCATGGCCAACACAAAAAGAGAGACGCGCTTCGATCTTCAAAGTTCACATCACTCCACCATTTATGCCTACCGCATTTTTTGTTTAATTGTTGGCAAATAAACTTTTTAAGTTTTAAAATATAAACCTAATTTGTAAGAAAACTTCGATGTTAAATTTTGAAGAGGACGAATTTTATTTCTTAAGCAAATTTTAAACCTGCAACCTGAAATTTATGCTTCCAAAGATGACTGAAGGTGATCATCGTCAAATGTTTGGACCTCGCGTGAAAGAAGAAAGGTCCACACTACGGTGAGTATTTTCAACAATTTTCTGTATTCCCTTTTTTCCTGGTGGATTATATTTTTCTAATTGGTTGTTAAAAAAAATGGGACAATAACTTTTAATCCCTTAAATTTGTTTTTCTTATTTATTTGCTCTCTCAAATTTATTTTTTATTAATTCAGTTTCTTAAATTTGTCTTAATTATTAATTTGATTATTATCATTAACAGTTCTTAAATTTATCTTAATTATTAATTTGATTATTATCATTAACAGAGAATGTAACACTGTTAAAATTTACTAACATGAATAAAATAATACTAATAATATAGATTAACATTCAAAAAATGTAGTATAAAGAATTAAATTGATAAAAATTAACCTAATTTTTGGATGAATTTATTTTAATTTAACTATATGTATATATATATGTCTGTCAAGTCATTAATATACTTTATACATTAGATTAATTTAATAATTAATTTCTGTTTTAAAACTTAAAGAATCAATATAATAATTTAAAAAAATATAATAAATAAAATCAATTAAAATTTAATTTGGGTGATTAAATTGATATATCAAAAGTCTCATTTTCTCTGAAAAACGAAAAGAAAAGGAAAAATCTGGGTTTGAGCCCATAAGAAAAAGCCGATCAGCAAGATCTTTGGGTTGGCTATTCAGGTTAGTTTCGGCTATTTCTCCTCTTGGTTTGGGCCTTTCTGGGCCATTATTGTTTCTATGTCCAAAACACAATGGAAAAGCATACGAAGATCATGATCCAACATTCCAAGGCAAAAACTGCTGGCCAAAAAAAAAAAAAAACAGAGAGAGAGAGAGACGACGACGACGACGACGACAGGGATAATGCAGAGATCGCTTCCGGTTCCGGCGGAGGATAACAAAGCCTGTAACTGCAGGTGTTTCAATTCCTGTCAAAAAGCCTGAAAGCTGAAGAGGCAATTCTAACTAGTGCTAGCAATTGTAAATATTTCACCCCTCAAAAGAATTGCATGCTTAATCTCACTTGTATGACTCTCTTGTGTATGAATACAAGTCTACCCCTCAATAGAAGTTGCGCAATGGCGTCGGAGCAACAAATACCATCCCGAAAGTTACAAATTTGCTCTGCTGCCAACAGTGGAGTGTCCCCCTACTGGAGAGGTCAGAGGTCTCTCTTTTCCGCCTATGTATCTTACACTCCTGCTTGCAATTTCTAAACTTAATGACATTGCTAATGCTGGTTGGCAGAAAACTGTGAAAGGGAAGCCCATAGATATTGGGATGCATTCTACAAGCGCCACCAAAATAAAGTTAGTTTTCCAAATTCGTAGAGTTTATACTTATTCTCCGTAGAATTCTGCGCTGATTCTCTCATCATTCTTTGTCTGTTGACTGTGCATAATCCTCAGAAACCAGAGTATTCTATGCTCGATTAAGTGAAACAATGTTGCTGGTTGCAATCGCTTCACTTAACGAAATTCTTTTTCTCTGTTTCATATTCATTGTGTATGCTGAAATTGTCTCCCTGCAAGTAATAGCGTTTCTTTTTTCCTGGCATTTTTTCTTTCTTTAGTTTTTCAGAGATAGTCATTACTTGGAAAAGGACTGGGGCAAGTATTTTTCTGTGAGTGAAAGGAAGGCTTGATTTGTACTTTTCTCCCGTGTTTTCAAGATAAGAGTAGTCTAAATACTTTTAAATCTGCAGGGAGAAGGAAGAAAAGTGATTTTGGAGGTATAATTTGCCCGGCCATGCTTTGCTCTTTCTTTTTCCCATTCAGCTTAGATGTGACTTAGGTAGCCTAGTCTTGTGCAAGCGATACCGCCGGGGTTTATTAATAGTCGAATGACTTCAAATAACGTACTATGATCCTGGAGACGGAACCACTCCTGATAGTTTCCCTTTGCAGTGAGATCTATGAGGACCACGTGTATCCAAGATATATTTGTTTATGTTTCTCTTTATAAGGTCTTTGGTCTTTGAAGTCTCTCAATAAATATTTGGATTTGCTAAGCAGGTTGGTTGTGGAGCTGGAAATACTATTTTTCCTATCATCGCGTCATATCCAGATGCTTTTGTTTTTGCATGTGATTTCTCACCACTAGCTATTGACCTGGTTAAGGTTGGTTTTTCTTTTTTCCTTTTTTGGTTGTAAATACTGCCCCGGGTATCATCGATTCATATGTTTCATGTGTAATAATGAGCCAGTAAGTTGTAATCCTTGCTTCTTGATTCAGTCCTGAACTATTATTGTACAACTATGTCTGGTAACATTCATCTCAAAGAGATGTAAATTCACACGGACCTCTATAATATACTAGGTCTTAATCATGTTATGTTAAATATACAGACCTTACACCTTAGAGGAAAACTATGCCATGCCATTTTATGGTTTTTGATGTAGTGAACTCAAAACTGTGTTGCATACTGTATGCAAACTGTTAAAATTACCTCTTGTACAAAGTTTATTCTTTAAGATGTAAGTACTAGTTCTACATTGTGTTGTGCTAGTAAAGTCTATTGGAAGTTGGAACATACTTCTTGCTTGTCTTTTGCTAGTTTAAGTGGCTTATAGGATCTTATGCGATCATGTGGCAAATTTTAATTGCAAGTGTAATTTTGTAGTCGATGGCCTATCATTACAATAAGCTTTAGGAGTAAATGTTTCACGTGAAATAAAAAAAGCAGGGAATGACTACGTGTTGCCTATTGACTGTTGTTTATACTTTATATTGGTCTAATTAGAATGAGCTTGCCTTTCTTTTCCAGTCGCATAAAGACTACAAGGAGTCCTGTGCCAGTGCTTTCATCTCTGATTTGACAGCTGATGACCTAAGCAAGGATATTTCTCCATCATCAGTTGATATTGTGACCCTGGTATTTAAACGGAAGTCGTAGACTCTTTTTTCTTTAAGTCAATATAAAGTGATATGAGTCTGTTAGTGTTAGCTAACATGTGTCATTTTCTTGCCGCATATCTAACTCAGAAGCAATTTTACTCTTAAATATTGAGAAATAGTTATGGCCCTGTTGTTTAAGTAGCTGACATGTTAGGCAGATATTTATGTTGTCTGCAGTATCCCCAGAGAAGATGCCTCTGGTGCTGCAGAATATTAGAAAAGTTATGAAGGTAAGTAATTTCTATTTATTACTGTCAATGTGCTGCCTTTCTTTAAACGTTGCTAAATTAGTTGTTTCTAAGTAATGCAACTCTTGTCCTTTGCAGCCAAATGGTTATGTGCTGTTTCGGGATTATGCTGTTGGTGACCATGCACAGGTTGATTTATAGTGATTTCATCTTTTTGTCATTTGCCAGAAAAGTTATAGTTGCATGAATCTTGGTCCACATAATCTTATTCTGACTAATATTTTTTGGGAGAATGATAGAGAGGTTCTAAAAGGACCAATTAATTCAAGTTAGATCCCAAGTGTCAAATTTCAGGAATTTACAACTCAGTTTCTCAGTTTTGTAATTGCGTTGTGATGAATTTATAACTTTATTTCAAATTTTAGCAAGGAAAATATTTTTTTTTATTCTTCAATCATGTAAAAATTTAAAAACAAGTTGCAAATTTATCACAATGCAATTGCAAAATTGAGAGATGGACTTGCAAATTTTTGAAATTTGACACTTAGAACCTAAGTTGAATTAATTGGTCCTTTTGGAACCTCTTTGTCATTCTCCCATTTTTTTTCTGGTAACAAAGAATCTGAATTTACAGCTCATTGTGGTTCATTACAAAGTAATTTGGAATATCATTTCAACTATGTTGATATTGCCTGATTTGGGTGATTTTGTTATCTCCTAAGTGATATGGTTATACTCATTCGATGTGTAATTATTGAATAAGTATAACCAACCGTATATGAATAGTTGAATCAATGAACTCGTTAATTATATCCTTGGTTGGGCAATCACATGACTGCCAAGTTCTGGGTTATTGTTTTCTTTGGTCTGTGCTGCTGACTTTTTAGATTTTTTTTTTTTGCTTCGTAGGAGAAATTTTCAGCCAAAGATCAAAAGATTAGTGATAACTTCTATGTCAGAGGTGACGGCACTGTGAGTCTTCAGTAATTGCCATGTTATCATGTAATTTAGTGTACATATGCACGTCTTTATTAATGTAACACACCTTCTGTATCTTATACAGCGTGCTTACTATTTTTCAAGTGAGTTATTTACAAATTTGTTTAAAGAAAATGGTTTTGATGTTGAAGAAATTGGTGTATACTGCAAAAAAGTTGAGAACCGCTCAAGGGAGTTGGTAATGAACCGGTAAGGTACCATATCACAAGTTCCTTTTGGTCAATTCCCCATTTTTATGTTATTCCAGTAACCTGGGGAGTGCGCTGTCCTTGTTTTAGTAGTCTAGTAGTGACAGACTAAGATAGTATGAGATACTTAAGTCCCGCACTAAGTAATGTGAGATGTTTAATAGAGTATTTAAGTTGGTTGATTCTCTTCAATTCTGGAGGAGGATTCCATATCTTTTTTGGTTCATAACTCTCACGTTGAGTATTATGGAATGCTTAATGAATATTTAAGTGGATTAGTTCTTTCAAAACAAAAGCTAACTTTTGAGTGAGAGTTCTCCATCCCACTTGAGCACCAATCAATCATGAATGTGAGATACATTTTTGAACTCACGCTTTTAGTCTAGAGATATATTGAATTTCAAGGCCCTAATCTAGTGCTCGAAAGAAAATTTACTTTTGTTTTCAGCCTATTTTGGCTGTCAATGATTCATTTCTCTCCTCCCTTGTCTATATTCGGTGGTTTCAGGCATTGGCTCCGAGCAGTATTTTGCTTGTCAAATGGTTCCAATTATTTTTCCAGTAAAGAGGCTCCACCAAAGGTCAGTTGTCTTCATGGTGAGAATATTCCTTCAGCCATGAGGGAAAATAATTTGAAGGGTGTAGTAAATGAATGGCTTAATTGACTTGTTTGAGGGTACGGCATCTGATATGTCCGGAATGTTACTTTCCTGTGAGAATGAGGTAAGGTTCTCACCTTAGCTCTGTTTTTGCTGATTCTCCTAATCGAGATAACTATTAGAATTCATTCTCTCTCATTTTTTATAAAACTGAATCTATCATATCCGAGGTTACTGCATCTTTCAGATGTTCTGCTGACTTTAAAATCTATTGGCACGTAAGAACACCCCTTTTTTTAGATCTGAGAATGACACTCTTACTTCATTTTCATTCCAATTTTAGACTGCATAGGACATTTTATGTCCTCAATCAGCCTGGTTACCATCACAGCCCCCCACCTCTCTATTTTCATTTATAATCTTGATTTTCCTTTACAGGAGGAATACATGCATTTCTGAATCTGCATTGCCTTTTCCATGCAACTTCAGAAGAGTTTATCGGTAACCCTGGAAGCTGCAAGGATAAAGAGGAACCTGCATTGATTATTGCCATATCCATCCTACGCCAAGTAGATGAACCATCCCTAATTTCAGCTGCTGCAAAATTTGGTTTTAAATTTGCGGATAAATGGCCTAGTAGCCTTTCAAGTAATCTATCTTGAATTATTATGAGGAATTAGTTCTAATTAAAATGATTTGAAGCAGTATCTTCCTTGTGCCCCTCAGTTTCAAGTTGTCGTACGAAAAAGATGGCACTATTCTTTTGGAAAAAGATGGCAGTTATAAGTTCATATTTTGGTAATTGAGTGTGTTGTTATTTAGTTGGCTAAAAAAAAAAAAGCGTAATGTTATTCTTGTTCAAATCAATGTTCCCCCACTATTCGGGGAGGACATGCTTATAGTTGTATTTGCGCCCTGCTTCATTCTTATAGAAATGCTAGTGCCTGTTTCACTGTTCGGAGATTATGATATTTGAATCACTGCTGTTAAAAAGTTAAGAATTTTCTTTCTGGTTGATAGGCTTACGAAGCAAAAGTACACACGACTAGACTGTTTTAAATGTACTCCCTTGACCCAAAAAACTAACTGGCTGACTAACTAACAAATTTAAACTTTAGATTTCTTGCTTTCATTATTACGATAGCATAATATAATATAACATGGGCAAGTGAGCATTTCTTGCTGAGGGTGATGCTAGTCTTTGTGGAAGTCTTCCGGTTAACAACCTATGCACACGAAGTATCAGACAGCCTATGTATGGCCCAGTTTCTGTTTTTTTCTACTCTTTTTCTCTTGACTGCATGATGATGAAAAATTTAGAGTCGTGTCAAAGGATTAGGAGTGTGTTTGATTTTACATTGAAAAACTTAAAATTGTAATTTAGTAGTTTCTAATATGAAACCAAACACACACTAAATATAATGATAAATATAAATTAAGAGTTGCAAGGTACGATAGTCTTTTTCAAAGGCTTGTCAAGCTGATCATTACCATTACACTGACAATATTATCTCAAATTATACATAAACCACCGCTGTTTGTTCCATTTCCCATTATCCCTCCCACTTTCTGATAGAAATCCGCTAGGATATCTCACTGACTTGGAAAATTGGTCATATAGAAATCACTGTAATATAAGCTTGAAAAATCACCATATGTGTTAAACGAATCTTAACTTTATGCCCATGACCACACAAAATTTAAAATAACGCGCATTGATTATAAGTTGTATAAACAAAATGATTTTAATTTTACATTTCACATGTTAAATTGATTTCATATTATAATCAATATTGATAGTTTATCTTACTAAATCAACCCTTAACATGCACTATCACTTGATCATATCATAGTGTTAAAGATTAATCTATTCCTATTTTGTTTTATTTTTAATTTTAAATGTGAGGGGTCGGCACCTCCATTATTATTCACCGAAATACAAGGAAAAAAATAGACAACTAAATAAATCGATGAAAAAGAGAAAAGTGTTTTAGTAATTACAGCATACTATATATTGAGCTATAAATTAACATGCGTGTGAGAGGAGCACATGGCGTTTGTGTAGGTATCAGAAGAAAGCAAACGTCGTAATACGCAAATTGTAAATCCTCTCCCTTCAAAATTTTCAACTTCTCTTGTTAATTAAACTTACCAGCCCTTGAGATTATCCAATGAAAAGAACTTATCTAAGTTTCCAGGTTGACATGCAAGTTAATTTGAAAATGTCGTCCCAATCAACATAAAAATCGCTAAAAATAATTAACCAGATGTAACTATAGCTAATTAGGTAGCTTAAGCCAGCAACCAGGTCAGTGTACAACTTTTTTTGGCCAAAAGTTCAGCGAACAACTACAACATAGCATGTGTGTGTAAACATGTACATCATTTCAATGATTAATAACGCTAACATACAATCACCACAGTTCGTCGCATGATTAAAACGCTTCATCCAATTTCAATTCCCATATGTATAATTCAACCAATCCAAATCCAAAGTAATATACAAAAAGCCAAAAAAAAAATGCTCATTCTGATTAAACTCTTTGTCCCTGCAAAATGTTTATAGCTCTTAACTAGTAACCCTCAATTCCCATATTATGGCTTGCAATTGACATCTTTCAAAGATATGCCACAACCACTAGATCTGAATATTATCAATTTTCTGTAAGTTAAATTCCTTAAATTTCTATGCTTACTAAGAACCTAGATAAGTGATACGGATGATGTATAGTATTGTGATCTTAAATATGCATTCAATAAATAATGATATGGGGCATAATATAGGAAAGACGATTTACCCACGTCACCGATCATACATTAAAGTAAAACATTCACGAAGGATGCACCTATAAGCTATAGCTGTGTTTGTTCGAGATGATATAGACCAGTTAAAGCCATATGATGAACACATATAGCCAGATGAACTCTTCTCAGTTGTCACCCATTACAAAACTAAAAATTATACATCTTGTCCTTTTTCCCATGCTACAGCTGTGCAATAATTCAGCATGTAACTGCTGGAGATCTTTCATTTCCATCAAGCCTTTCTGCGTTTGACATATTAGGCACGCTTCTTCACCTACAGCAAGATCATTTATTGATTGAAAATTGGGGGCAGCGCGATGATTCACACCATATGGAAAGCATAGCTATATATATATATATATATATTCAGAACCCTAGAGCAGTTAGAAAAAGACAATCAACAAGAGGACGGAAGAAAAAGACCCACGATCTAGCATATAGCGTTAGATTGTCTGTATTTAAATAAATTAAATCAGCCTAATCCAAGTTAACTACTATTTAAAAACAGTCGGATCCAAATTGTTTAATTTATTGATTAATTTTAATCCTAAGAGGTAATATCTGTTCAGATTCTGACATAATTGATGGTCTCTATCCTTCTCTAAATGGCCACTGCACATAAACATTGTAGCCAAAACCAACAGCAAGAAAAAACAACAATAAATTCCTTAAACATATGAGCAGAGGGAGTAAGGAGATTTTTCCCAGATGAGTTAACCGTAAACACCTCTATGACTTGTTAAAAAAAAAGTCTGTACATGAAAATAATCTAAATTCAACTAAATAGAGTAAATTAGTATAGATGGAAATTTTATCTGGGTTAAGAAATTTGAACAAAATTAGAGGGGGGGGGGGAACAGGTTCAGACCACAACCACGCTCATATATCACTGCCTATATGCGTGTTTCACAATTAGGGTGCTGTAGATCAGCATGCTGAGAATCATGAAAATCCGTACCTTGCACCGCCATACATATATGGTGAACGGTATTGATCGCGAGTTTGTTTGTTAAAACAAAAGAACCTTTTAAAAATCGAAGCTAATAGAACAGATTGGAGAGTTAATCTCCCGATACAAAACGAGCTCCAGGAGTTAGCTAGGGTTAATACGGAAGGAGAAAAGGGTATTTAATTAGGTTTAGGGGTAGGGAGGTTGTAGCGCATATAAAGAAGGAAAAGCGATAAAAGTAAAACCACAAGAATTAGTAATTAAGTGGTAGTAGCAGCAGCAGAAAGTGAAAAGGAGATAGAGAGAGACGGGGTGACAGATAGAGCGTGAGCACGCATAGCTTCAAGCACGAAACATGAGCATGCAAGAAAGTACCATGTGTGCTCACTCTCTTCTGTCACCTCCCTTACCCTTTAAATTAATCCCTGCAAATTTCAGGCCTGCAATTGGATCACACTAACCCAACCCTCCTTCTGGAAATTGGGATCGGGTTAATTAGGGGAAGGGTGGGGGAGGAGAGAGAGAGAACACCATTATATCTAAGCATATATTGCAGAAAACTATTCCAGCTTTGTGTAGAACGCATAACCGAGCTGGAGTTTTGCTGGTGTGAAGAGAAGTGGAGGGGAAGGAGGGTTTATATAGAGTCCTTGAGAGGGTTTGGGAGCATCAATCACGTAGGGAAGGAATAAATGTGGGTTTATCCTCCATTGGTCATAGTCTATTATTTTAAATAAATCTATGCATTTTACAGAAGGGAAAAAGAGAAAGCAGATTTAGTTTTTAAAAAAGAAAAAACAAGTGCGAACGAACTTTAATTTAGAAATCCCTCCACCCACACCCTCATTTATTCGTGTTGTGGTTACCAATGCATCTTGTAATTCTAAATCCCTTGTGTTGATTGCCCAATCCTTGCCATTCTTCATCTCTGCTTCTTCAAAACCCTATCTTTACTTGTGCCCTCACATCGGACAAGAATTTTTTTCACGTGAAAATTATTGATAATCCTCAAATATTGATTAGTGAGTATACCAATTAAGTACGTCTCTCATCGGCTGTTTGTCTTCACTTACGAATTGAGATCATGGAACGGAACTACTACTTAATTAAATTAGAATGGCCTGTGATCACTGACGGATATTAATTTAAAGGAAATGTAGATCTCGTTACTGATGATCATAGGACTATCTAATTCGAAGGACCTGATCATTCAAGGATAAAACAATAACATCATTAAACAGAGATATGGCTAATATACATGTATGGTGAAAGACAAAGTCGCCCTCGTTGTTGATTATCATAGAACTACTTAAATTAGAAGGACCTTATCATTCACGAATGCTTGAACTATGGGTAGCTAATTATTTATGGCGAGACTCTGAAAGACCTCGTCATTGCCAATTAATCAGCTAAGGATTATAGTATTAATGTTTAAGTGTTGCCAATGGTTCTTCCTTTGTTTTTATAGGGTTAAAATGCATTTTTTTCTATGTATTTTCCTTTGAGAAATGCTAGAAATGTACTAATAAATGAAACATTTTTTTTCTAAATCATTTTTCAAATGACCAAAAACAACCCTTCATTAGTGATCCATTAATTTTGCAATTTCTCCTTAATTGAACTCTCTTTCTAAGAGTGCTTACAACATTAAAATTTTGTTAAAATATATTTTAATAAATATTGTTGAAATATTTAATATTTATTAAAAAATGATCTTTTAAGAAAATTAATAATAATTAAATCTCTTAAATTTTTTAGGTCAATATCTATAATTTTTTTGGTTAACTAACAGTTAAATTAACAGATATTTAAAATTGAAGTATTACTTGTTCTCAATTGGTATTTCATATAATGCAATATGATTTCAATTTTAATATGTTTAGAGATTCCAAAAGATAATATTAATTTTATTTATTTATTTGGATGTTCATTCCCTCTTTTTTATACAAAGTTGCAACATATCAAAATATTAAATTTGAATAGTACAATATTTTGAAACAAGATCATTAATTAGTTGATCAAAAAATTACAAAAAATGACCTAAAATATTTAAAGATCTTAATCATTATTAATTTTTTTATAATTCATTTTCTATAATTTATTTAAAAATATTATTTTTATTGTTATTAGGATTAAAGCACATTTTCCCTCATACTTTGCTTCGAGGATTGCAGTGCACCTTGTATTAATAAATGGAGCATTTTTTCTCCCTAAACTATTTTTCAAATAAGCAAAAATTCCACTTCATTAATAGATCACTAACTGATCATTAATGATGAGGGATTTTCGCTCCTCTAAAAAATTACTACTAGAAAAATAAAATTTAATGATAAACAAATCCCTTGCTGAATGCTATTTTTCCTCACTAAATTGTATTTTAGTGAGAAATTTTGTCTCTCACTAAATTCATAGCTAAAAAATGGCTCACTAAATTTAGGAAGAGATTGTATTTTTCTTGCTAATTTAGTCCCTCACTAATTTTTAATAAGGGTCATATCCCTTGCCGATGCTATTCAAAACTTGATAATTTTAGAGAGGGATTAGTTTCTCACTAAATATACTTATATTTAAAAATGATGATGCCACATTACTCGTCACATGTGCGTTAACTTGTGACATATCACTAACAACCTCATACCTCATCAACCGCCATGTCATATATCCATTATATTTATGCAAAGGTCAAGACTTGAACCATTGACCTCCTACCTTCTAAATCTTATACTTTTTTTTTTATTAATTGAATTGAAAGACACATGCAGTTATTATATGAAAAACTAAATATATATTATTTAACTGGACAAATATATCAAATAATATATAATAAAAATAAACATATATATTAAATTTTATTTTTCAATTATTAATATGTTAAAAATATTTATTAAATTATTCTTTATATTATATTTTAATAAAATATTATTTTTTTAATGGAAATGAACTTAAAATAAATAAAATATTAAATATTAAATAATTTCATTATGAATATTTTAGTTACTTTTTAAATTTAAATTTTATTTTTAAATAAAAATAATTAAATTTATAATTAAAAGTCATTGCCAAAAGTCAATTTTTTTTTTGCAATAATTAGCTAGAGATAAAATTTCTTACTAAATCCCTTACTAATTATCTTATTTTAGAAAAAGGTTGATAGTTTCTTAATATTTTTCTCACTAATTTTAAGTTGAGCTATGAAATCAACATACATCATTAATTTCTTTGCTAATTGGGTATTTTAGAGAGGAGTATATGATCCCTCGCTAAATTCTATCGCTAATTTACATTTTTTTAGTGGTGAATGACTTGAGAGAAAAATGCTCCACTCAGTACAAGATGCACAACACTTCTCAAAAGAAAGTATAAGGAAGAAAATACACTTTAACCCTTGATTTTATAACCATCAATACTCATGTGATGACAAGTTGCTACGAGTGATATGCTTTTCACCACCAAGATCACACTTTTTTGGTCCTATTTATAAGTTATTTTCAATATTATAAATATCAATACAACAAAAATATAATAAATAAAAGTAAATGAAATTTTAAATATAATCCCCAAGTAAAAAGTAAAAAGTAAACAAATAATATAATATTATTATTGTTGTCCTTCTCTCACTTTTTAAGGGTAATTAATTGGGATTTCAATTTGAAATAAAATAATTTCATTAATTAATGACTTATAAAGGGGACCAAATTATATTTTTAGAATATATAGGACCAGAGAAGTACCTTGTTAATTAACTGATATAATAAGTGATATATTTTCACCTTAGGTATATATATAAATTGTTTAATTAATCATCAGCAACGCATGGACATATATCCACGGGAAATTCTATGCAAAACTCGACCTTCTATAGAAAATTGAGAGATCTAACCCATTAGGTTTGTTTTTGAGATATATTAATGTTCAACTTACAACGGCTTACTGCTATATAAAACGTCAAATTAAAAATATTAAATTTAGAACGTATAATTATCAAAAAATTAAACATCAGCTCAAACTTTATATATAGAATTAATTACCTCATATTCACCTGTTGGAATATGATGAGTCATTGTGCTTGCACAGGTTCTTGCTATCACGGCATAAACAAATCGAGCAGGATACAATTATTGTTGATCTTTATGTATAGAATATCCATGTGGTGCTCTCTTGTTTTACCTCTATAATATGCTTCGGAAGGAACCGAATAAGCACAAAACATGGTCGCAATGTAATGGCAGGTCCCCATCCCTCTTAATATATAAAATAGAAAGAGAAGGGATATAGGAAAGGAGGAATTTGTTTCCTCAAGTAAATTAGGGCTAAGTGCTCAGCACAGCCTCGCAAATCAGAAGGCCACTTTGAAAGATCTAATATGCGGCGGCGTTAAAGCAGTTTAAAGTATATATGCTTTATACTTTACATTTTTTTAAACAATTATTAATCGATGCAAAGTAAATCATTGACATTAATGTTCGAACCAATCGCTACAAATGCGTGGTTTGCGGGACGTCATGCCTTTGACACAGTCTCAATTGAATAGTACAGAGAAATCTCGTTATATACTAGATTACTAGATTTGATACTTGGCAGTCCTTTAATTAAACACAGACTACTTTGATTGGTCGTCTTCCACGTCTTGGATAAATCTGCCCCTTCAGCGGGGATGCGTCTTCTCGCACATTACTCTCATGATTTTAGGATCTCAAGTCATTCATCATTATTATATGAATCACGCCGACCATTAGGCTTTTCACGCGGAGCAGAGAAATTAATATACATTCTTACTCTGAGGGCTTTGTTAATCAGATGATCTATTGAAGGGCCTACGCACCGGATCATTTACCAGAGTGACTCTATATATGGTATGCTTGTAATTATAATGATGATGAGAAGTGGGTTAGCTACCACAATGAGCAACAGTATAAGGTTTCCGAATGAGGAAAGGCCGAGAGTATAACGTTGTCTAGACTTGCCCTATTTCGAGGGAGGGGGGATCGATATACATGTCCATGATTCCAAGTGTTTGTACAGAGCACGACAGAAAAACATATGTAGGTTTATTGAAACAAAGAGCCACGCTGCATCAACATTTGTGATAAATACGCACTTTCTACTGCACTTTCTCTTCCTGTTACTTTCCAGGTATTGAAGGTAAATAAAAGTGCGATGCTCACACTCGGGACCAGCATCTTCTGTGTAAATCCTTAGACACCACAAGGGTTCAACAGTCAAATATGAAGTGTCAAATCCAATGTGAGGGTGGCGGGAATTGAGGTGGAGGAGCCAGGAAGACGCGTGATACTGGTCCCAGATTGGCGTGGCAAAGAGAGGGATAAGGCCGATATGATGGATGAAGAAGAAGAAATTAAAAGAGAGGAGGGTTTTAGTTTTGTTGATATTTGGTGAGTGAGAATAGAGAAACCCTAATGTCATAGAGTGGACACGTCCTTGGGAATGCTAGACACAGTGCGTCCAGAGTGAAGCGTGTTGGGAAGAGGCCAACAGAAAAGCAGGCAGAGTCAAATGTGGAATTATCTATGTAGTGGTCACAGAGAGAGAAAGGGAGAGGGAAGAGAATAATGAAGCGGCGGGGTGGGGGAAGTGCCAACTCAGTAGGGAAAGGGATGCATGTGAGGAGGAAAATGGAGGCATGTGGCATAAATGATAA